AATCATTTATTCTACCCAAAGAGATCAGATCCAGATACAGAGACGCTCGCAGAATCCGGCGCTGCAGAAAATCTGGGATTATAAGTCATCAGGTTTTTCGTGTCTTGTTGGGTAAACAGGTATTTAACGTGGAGGATCAAGAACGCCGTTTCTCTGGCGCTCAAAGACAAACAACCGATCAACGATAAAAAAAACCCGAGAGTTCAGAACCAGAACTGTGTGAGAGACGGACCGGGACCAGGGTCAGGTTCAGAAGGGGAAAGGGGGTCAAAGCAAGATGAAAACAAGATAAAAAAACACCAAAAACAAGATAAAAAACTAAAAACAAGATAAAAAACTAAAAACAAGATAAAAACACTGAAAACAAGATAAAAAACACTAAAAACAAGATAAAAACAAGATAAAAAAACACTAAAAACAAGATAAAAAACTAAAAACAAGATAAAAAAACACTAAAAACAAGATAAAAAACTAAAAACAAGATAAATACACTGAAAACAAGATAAAAAAAACACCAAAAACAAGATGAAAACAAGATAAAAAAACACTAAAAACAAGATAAAAACAAGATAAAAAAAAGACTAAAAACAACATAAAAACAAGATAAAAACAATATAAAAAAACACTAAAAACAAGATAAAAAACTAAAAACAAGATAAAAACACTGAAAACAAGATAAAAACACTGAAAACAAGATAAAACACTAAAAACAAGATAAAAAACTAAAAACAAGATAAAAAAACTAAAAACAAGATAAAAACACAAAAAACAAGATAAAAAACACTAAAAACAAGATAAAACAAGATAAAAACATAAAAAACAAGATAAAAACAAGATAAAAACAAGATTAAAACAAGTTAAAACAAGATAAATACACTGAAAACAAGATAAAACAAGATAAAAACACAAAAAACAAGATAAAAACAAGATAAAAACACTAAAAACAAGATAAAAACAAGATAAAAACACTAAAAACAAGATCTAAATCTGAGGTAAAAAAGGTCTAAAAACAAGATCAATGATCTGTCCATGCAGCAAGATCATTTCACTAAACAAGATTTCTTGAATGAAGATTGTTCAGTCTAGAAATAATCATGTCTACAAATGTATTAGGAAGATTAAAGTCAGACAAACATGCTGGTTTAAGATCAGATGATTAAAATGTCACTTTTCCAGCCCTAAAATCAGTGAAATCGACTAAATCTAATCAATGACATATTTATTTTTCTTCCTTTGATCAAATGAAGCTGAAGATTAGTTCAACCAAAAATAGAAATGTAGAGAAAAAATACCCAGTATTAGTGAAGAATGACTAAACTCTGTCTCAATCCAAGCAGGCTGATCTTGAAACAAGGCTTACTGAATCTGAAAACAAGATTCCTTTGGATGAGACTAGAACTGATTTGAACAGTTATTTTTCTCATGTGAAGATTTCCTGACTATTGGAGACAAACAGAAGAGAAGGTTGTTGGAGAGAAGATTACAGTGGAAACTTAAAGACTCTGAAAACAGGAGAAATTCTCCAACACTTCTGGATCTACGCTTGTTTTCTTGGTAAGAACTGAATCGTTCTAATATCATAAATAAACCTCCTTTTCTCTCGCAGTCTTTAGTCTTTACATATTTAGCTCTTATATTCTGATGCTAATGAAGGCGGTTTATGGCGGCGGTGGCGATGGCGGTGGGGGAATCAGAGTCTGTTTGTGTTTGTGAGCTTCTTCTTCTTCTTCTTCTCCATTCTTCCTCTTTTCTTTCTCTCCTCTCCAAATTACAGCTATTAGGAACAGACGGGCGCCAGCCAAACACGCCGCTCCGCGTGAGTTACACACTCACACACACACACACACACACACACACACACACACTCACACACAGAGACGCACAAAAAGACGCGGAGACGAGAAGATGTCCACCTCAACCGTGAGTTACACACTCACACACACACACACACACACACACACACACACACACTCACACACACACACACTCACACACACTCGGGGTTCGCCTTTAGCGTCTCCGATGCTCGCTTTCAACGCCCGCCGTTGGCAGAATTGGGTTTGACAGCTCGGGTCCAGGCCTGTGATTGGCCGGCCTCCAGGGACCCTGTCAGAGGAGAGGTGTCGACCGCCAAAGCGTCAGGACAGGAAAACAAGGCAGGAAGTGGAGAGGAGGCGAGGAGGAACCCGGCTCTGATTTCATCACTAACAGATTAACAGAAACGGCGAAAAGAACGCAGAAACGGCGAGGGCGAGAGGGGGCGGGGGTTTATCTGAGGAGTCCGGCGTTGAAAAGTGGCGCTGTAAGAACTAACAGGAACTGTGTAGAGACGCCGACGGAGCCAGGACGCCTGACAACCAGCCGGCGGCAGAGAAAGGCCTCCGGTCCACGGCTCGCTCCGATCCACAGGACGCCGCCGCCGAACATGGGACGCCATCAGAGAGAGAGAGAGAGGGGAGGGAGAGGGGGAGAGAGAGAGAGAGAGGGGGAGAGGGGAGAG